AATCTATTAACAAAGCAAGCGAAGCTTGGGGAATTACGTGCCTCCGATATGAAATACGTAAGTACAGAATTAAAATCATGGCGCTGTTTGGCCAACTATGTGTACTTATAATGACACATAAAATGTGTTCGTCATTCTATTCTAGGAGACATCAAACTGCCAAGTCGTGTGCAGGAGGCTATGCAAATGCAAGTAGAAGCAGAAAGGAAAAAACGGGCAGCCATATTGGAATCTGAGGGTGTGCGAGAAGCAGACATTAATGTAGCTGAAGGGAAACGTCAAGCAAGGATATTAGCATCTGGTTAGTTTTATCTTCTTCCGAAGAGATGCCCACATTATGTGGGTTGTCTGAAGTTAGTCTTACAAGGTTAAAAATAACAGAAGTACACTTTATAATCGTGTAAAGTTTCATTAAACTAAAAATTCCTTTTTCACTTCCTGCTTATGAACATTATACGCCATTAACTTGAAATAGTCTGTTATGCTGACAGCAGTAGTTACTTGTTATATGTGTAACATAGGTAGACAATTGGAGTTGCATGAAAAATTCATTCTTATCCTTATTATTGTTTGTATTTTAGAGGCTGAACGGCAAGAACAGATAAACAGGGCTAGTGGAGAAGCGCAGGCGATGTTGGCCATAGCTGAAGCCCGAGCCAAGGGTCTGGAGCTGGTGGCAAGACCACTCAAGACTAAGGTACTTATCTTAATCTTTCCAGAACGTAATGTGTCATCGGTGTATGCCAAATTTTTACTATCTACGATCATATTGTATATTTATAACATTGAATTTCAGTTTCTTTATTATACCATCATCAGGAACATTTTCATATATTTAACCCAGAAGAGCTGAATGGTAACTGCTTTAACAGTTGTTACCTCTGCATTTTTTTTTATTCTCGCTGTGATCAGGTATTATTTGCTTAAACAGCATTAACCAATTTATCTTTGTATTGGTGAAGTGTTGTGTTTTCTTCGCTGTGTGGGCCAAATTTTTAAATTTCACTTAGACAAGCTTTGGCTTCAAAGGGTTAACCATATTATTTATCATTAATTGGTGATAACGTTTTGTTGTTGCAGGTGAAACCCTGTTAAAGAGAAAGTTCTTAACAGAAATTTTATGATGCAGTCTGAGTTTCAAAACTTGATTATTCACACAACTTTGCTTGTTTATTGATTGTAGGATGGACAGAATGCAGCGTCCCTTAATGTGGCTGAATTGTATGTGCACGCATTCCAAAAGCTGGCCCAGAAAGGCAACACTCTTATTTTGCCAAATAATGTTGGGGATGTCACAAGTGCTGTTACTCAGGTAAGAATACATATTCAGGTACTTGTGGGTTATCGGGACACATCGCTTTAAAAATAGGTTAGGTTAGCTTAGGTTAGGTTAATGTATGTGGATAAATGACATATACTTGAAAGTTATTATATTTTATTTCAATAAATGACAAATTATTATATTTTTAAAGAGATGTGTCCCGATAACCCACAAGTACCCATATTCATTACTAGTTTTTATCATTATTGATATTTTGTGATGATCACTAGTGTGCGTTACATTACATGTTTACAGATTGCAACATTAATTTATACTTTTCAGTGTTAGTTGGTTTGATGATTTGTTATTTGTGTAACAATCTATAAGTTCTTATTTGGATGAATCTAATGAAAATCAGATGGTTTTGTTCCATAGCTCAGAAATGTCAAGAATAAAATCCATATTAAAATATGCTCCGGATATGCAAATGCTTTTTGGTTAGTTGATCTTGTCTCCAGTAGATTTCCAAATTTAAAGTGTGCTCATAAGATTTATAGCTTCTGTCTTTCTACAGTTTTTAAAAGTGGTGCCCTTTCATTAGGACAAGGGAATGTAGGTTGTTCAGTGAATTAATTTTCTTAGTCTGGTCTGAAACCCTCAGTGCTGTCCAATGTACTCAGTATGACAGACCCATACATCGTAACTTTTGCATTTCACATATTCAGAATGTCATTAATGCTGCTGTATGGCTAACTTTTAAGATACTGTGTTGTATTGAGTATGTGCTAGAACACCTGTTAAAGGAGAACGTCCATCTTTATCAAATATTCTTACACAATAACTTGAGATTTGCATTATATCCTTCTCATTTGATGCCAGAGGGAGATTTTACACCAACCTTGTCTGCACTGGTTTTTATTATTGTATATAAATATTCAAGGTCAAGGGTTAGACTATGGGAAAGCACCATAATTGTTATGTTTGCATATCTTTCTTCATTTATCATCTTTGAAAGTTAGAGGTATGCTTGTGACATTTATGATATATAATATTTTTAGTTCTTAATGTTGTCTATTATTTTTCATTTTGTCTTCAGGTGTTTAACTTTGGATTCTGTATAACTTTTTTCAGCTTTATTCTATCTCTTTTGGGTTTTCTTATAAGAGAAAAGTGAAAGTAAAGCTGTTCTGCTATATGGCATCTAGGCACTTTGGGGGAGAGATGAGGTGTAGCTCCTGCTTATTCTTAACCTCAGAACTAGATAGGGATGAGTGGTCAGATTCTCTGCCCCCGTCGGGGATCGAACCCCTGCCGTCCAGACAGTTTTGAAAATAACACCTTAACTACCCCAGCTCCTGATACTTCTTAAAAGTCACATCTTTCCTCCCATTATTTTACTAGTTTCTTCGTTAGTATTTCCATTTGCCACTATATAACTTCATTTATGTACTTGTTTATTACATTTTATCTTTTCCATGTCATCTGTCTTCTATCTATTTTCATTACCACATATTTATGTGAATTGACATACATATTATCTATTTTTATTACCTTCTTCACAAAATACTTTGGTCATTTATGCAGGCAATGGCCGTGTATAATCAGCTTTCAAAGAACAATGATGTTCTCTCATCAAGGATTGAAAAAAGTGCAGAATATTTCAGTGATGAAGAAGATGAACTTAAAAAAATAAAGCCAAAATCAGCAAACCATTCTGATTTTGATAAAGTGATAAACTAAAAATATTTTGTGGAATATACCATACATGATGAATCAAGAGCATCCGAGTCAAAAAATTTCCATGATAAACTACATTACATGATGTTTGTATAAGCTGTTGGAGTAAATGTGTGTCACAATGCCTTTTAAAGTAATAAATGTGGAAACTGAAGTCCATTTAACGCTATGGTTTGAAGATGTGATTTACAATACCCAGGACCTTCACATACATGTGTTACAGGGAAATTATTTCATCCATCATAAGATGAAGTGTGTCTGAAAAAATCAGCGTTCTGTAGTCAGTGAGAATCGAGAAGCCTGAACTTCCTTACATCAGTATTACAGTTTTGAAAATAACACTATATCAGATTTAGCTGAAAGAAAGTAGGGTCAGTACTTTGAATTTAATTAAATATAAATTTTGGGCTGGGATCGGCCAGGTAAAGTTCTAAACTCTCAGCCTGTACCTCTACATTGCACTTTAAACCATATATGTTAATCATTATGCAGTCATGCCCCAAACTCGTGTAAGTAGCTCTGGTGAAAGGTCAGTTAAAAAATGGACCTTCATAATAAGGAAATGTTTATCTAACTTTATTTGTACTAATTATGTATTTTTTACGGTTCTTGGAGAAAGTTTGGCAAATAAACCTCCAATATTAAAGTATTTACTTTATTATCCTATGTACAAATTTTATTAATATTTTATGTCTGAAAATCTGCAAATCACAAGCTTCAAAATTATGTAAAATACTTACTATCCTCGCAATGAGACATTTACAAAATGGTCCCTTTACAAAACTTGTAAACATTCACAATAATATGACAAAAATCATCACCGTTGTTTCTTACACATTAAATGCTGATAATCAGAAGTATAGATCACTGTGGAAGCACATTATATCACTACCTAAACTAAGTTATCTTCAACTTTCCATGTTCATAATATATAAATACATTTCAAATACATATAGATAGGCCTTTACAAAATATTGAGCAGTGTTACTTCATAAGTATCTTACTTTCATGTTTTAATTACAAAAATATATAAATACATATATGCTGCACACACATTCATGGAAAAGTTCCAGTCTAAAGTGATTTTCATCATCATCTCAAGATTTTTTATGTATTTTTCCTTTGGTATAGCAAATCTTCATTCCTGTTGCCCTGATTCTGAAGCACTGAGACCCGTTCCTTCAAACGTTCGCAAATGAATCTAAAATAGAGATAAAAAACATAATATTAACTTTGAAGGACAGTCTTATTCTCAGAAAATCGACAAAATTCCACTTACCTGTATGGGGTAATTAGAAAAGTCACGTAATACATCAAAATCCAAAAACTTTTACATAAATTAATATAATGAAGTCCCACCAATACTGATGCAACTAATTGTGCAAGAAAACTCACATTATCGACCTACTTTTCTCAGAAAAAGTACAGTTAATTTATACAAGGCAATGCACATGATAATACTTCTTCTTTTTCTATGGCTCTCCGGTCCGTATTCGGTCCATGGCCTCCTCGATTCTCCTCTTCCATTCGGTCCTCTGTTAGGTCCGTCTGTCTGAGGCTTTGATCGAGGTTTCGAAACATCTTCCTTTTTACGGTGCAAGGTTGTTAGCCTTGCGACCAACCCCCAACCTGGAGGACCAGGGTACCTGTCTTAGTTTGACCTCTTCCCCTCAACCAATCTGGCTAGGGAGGCCCTACCAGTAGCTATGCTACCGCTACATTAAAATTAGAGTACGTTGGATTAATACACCTTGACCTACCTACAAGATGTATAGTTGGTGTTAACACATTAAATACAAAGATAAATTATATGCAAGTGCAAATGAACATTAATTATGAACCTCATGTTCAATATATATTTCCAGACTATCTGGTTCCAGGAATATCAACGACAATTTCTGTAAGACATTTAGTGACAATCACCATTCTGGAATAAGTTTGTACTTTAAAATTTTTGACACTTTTGTGAGTAAATATGTATGTTACATAGCCATTTAGCAACCTGCCTAACCGATACATATTCCTTTATTTCAGTTTTAACTGTTAATCTATATAACCTTAATGCGCACAGTTAAATATTAGTTTTAGAAAGGAATTTTTATGAAAGACTAGAAATTAAAATAATATTTTACGCAAATAAAATGATTGTCTCAAACTGCATCAACTGTTCATTCAAATACTTCAAGTTTAACAGTGTTCAGAACACTTACTTGCAAATGAAGGTTGACTTCATCACTTCGACTTAGGTACGGAAAATTGCCGCCAGACTTTAGATGCGCCAGTTTTGCCGAGGGGTAACACTTGTACATTTCCTCTCGGACAGCATTAGACAGTGCATAATCATCAAACACATCCAGAATGGTGACGGTAAGTCCATGCAACTTTTGCGGCTCAACATAGCAGCTAACGCAATTTACCGTTAGTCTCGAGGCCAATTCTTTCTGATTCAAACTTTCAAGCTGTAAATAAAATGTACGTAAAATGTAAAGTAATGGACCACTGAGACAGCAGTATCTGTGTAGGGGAGAATGAAGCTGTGACAGCTTGGGAAATACGTAACACTGTACTTCATTCATAATTTATTAAATATTGAATTTAATGTTTCTGGTATGTCTTCTTCCCTAAGTCAGCATAAAAGTTACAGTGGAACCGTGGTTCCGGAGAATTTGACGTAAATACGTCTGTATTTAAATTATGTTTACGTCTCTGTAATGTAATGTAATTTAATGTAAAGTAAAGTAATGTAATGTTATCTTCAATGTCATCCATCCTGTTACGAGAGCGGATTGTTGACGGCAGTAATGTAACACAACAATGCTGAGTAAACAGATAACGTTTCCTAGGTAACATAATAATGCATGCAAGCTGACCATTGTTGTTGGTCCATATTTACACATTGTTGTCGATTTGTTGATACGGATATTACACATTTTTCTGTCACTTTTTCCTTACACTTTTTCATAACACTTTTTTGCGGAATGGCCCTTCTATATAGACGTATTTACGGCAAAAATGTTAAATTCATCTTTACAAAAATAATTATGAATGTTCGAAACCTTTGGGGTCAAAAAGAAATTCTGTCTCACATCAACGGATACTCACTCTTTCGACCATGAAGTCTATTGAATCTGCAATTCTACTATCGACTTGAAATGCAGTAAAATTTCCCATAACCATTTTCTTCAGTACTAGTGAAGGCAGCATCCAGAACCTATAAAGATGAGATACCATAACGTGACTAATTAAAAAAAAAGGTCTGAACGATACTACGCCCTCAAATGCATAGTACCCTGGCCTGAATCAAAAGAAGGGTCCTGGGATTGTCTGGTAATCCTAGGGAGGTCACTTTGACAAAAATCACACAGCAAAAGTTTGTAGACCATAACCTCAATATTTGTCTGAACATTTCAATTTGTTTCTGACGGTGCCAAACTTCAAGTTATCCATTTTTCACTTCACGATGCGTGCCGTCCTCTAGTTACGTAATTCATAAACAAAAAGTGGTCATATATGTACATACACAGCAGCGAATGCAATTCAGAAAATCGGATGAAAGTGAAATGCAGCATTGAATTTTCTAAATTTAGTTACAGTGTCATGATAATCGATTATATGATAATTTACTTACAGTGCTGCAGAATCAGTATAATTGAACACAGATGTATCGGTGAACGTATTGCATAATACCAGTGAGGCAACTCTCGGACAATTTACTGTTGATTCTGCAAATTTCTGAGCCAAAAATCCACCTAAAATAAGAATTACAGTTTTCATTTTCTTTATGTCAGTTTTACTTCTTGACCTCATTCTAACAAAACTGTCAGTAGTATAATATCCTACTAATATTATTTAATATTATCTTATTGATATAGGTGTTCAGTAAATAAGCACGTACACACGCAATGTCAGCTACTGAAACTCACGAGTGAGGAAAGAACTATTTCAGAATCACTAACATGTATGATACTATAACCATGAGTGTTTCAAAACAAACATAAGGAGTGGATATATATGCAAAAGTATATTTTACCCAAAGATGCTCCAAATAAATGCACTTTATGCAACCCCAAATAATCCAGGAGCTTTCTGAAGCCTTCACAAAATTCTTTAACAGTCCAGTACACAGGATGTTCTGCCTGTGAAAAGAGGAAAAATGGTTATGTATCATGTAGACAAAAATATGTAAACAGATGTACTACATGGTATATCCCATCTGACCAACCACTACCAATTTAATTCTGTTTTTCATAGAAGGATTCTGAGTTTTTTATGTGTAAGAATCTGATAATCTATTTGCAATTGTCCTCTCTGTTGAAAAGTCCTTATTGGTACGTAGCACGTCTTGTCAGCTTGAGTTTTCTTTTTCCTACTATACTTTGTTGAGTTTGGTGTCATATCCTGTCCATTAGCTTCTTGTAGTTTCCATGCTGTGATTTTATCACTTGATTATTTTGGAACATGGTCTTTCATTTAGTTTCATCCTGTAATTTTTGCTTTTGATTCACTGACTCTACCCAGAATATAAGCACAGTCATAGGTACGATGTCTCGTCTTCTTCGTTGTAATTTTTGGAGTGATTTTTCATCTTATCTCCCATAGAAACCCTGAACATCCAGCCCACAGCCTGATGACTGTACTGAATGAGCTATATTGGCTCCTCACTTGGACAAGTTAATATTGTGGTGGTTCCTTACAGCTATAACTCTGATTCCTTTAGCATTGAGTGCAAGTATTTGTTTGAAGAACACCTCAGCTGTTCCACTAACAGGAGGCAGGCACACCAGAGGAACTTTCACACTTTTTGGCCCAGAATCATAAAGTTTCCATCCCTGTAAAAATAAAAGTTTCAAAACAATATTCATGCCACTACACCACAGTTTCAAAGGCAAACAGTAATACAGCAACTGTGACATATGTTGTATTATGTATATTATTATAGCTGTCATGTCACCTGTCAAAATCTCATTACCTATCACATGTACCCTGCTATCATACTCCCATGCTGCAGAATATTTTCGGAAATAATTTTCATTACACCTACGCTCAAAATTTTGACTGTAATCCATGTGTACACCTACTACGATGGAAATCTTTCGTTAATGTTATTAATAAAGGCAACAGAACCATTAATTTTTACATTGTACTCCTAAGCTGTTTCAGTATTCTATACATTATAGACACGTACACAAAACCTCATGTTGCATACATTTGTAGTAAAAATTACAGAACGTGTCAATGACAGCTAGTTAATTGTTATTTACTTATTTTATTGTACTCTACGAACCTTTGAACCCTCAGCATCGACTACTATTCTCCTTAGGGGTATGCTACTGCGAAAACTTAGATACTCCTGAGACTGAGATAATTCGCTAACGTAACTCATTGTCTAGCAATAATAAGAATACAACGAAATTAAATTTGTAATAATACACAACAGTAAATACATAAACTACATCACTTCCTTTCTGCTTGTTTTGGTCGTAACCATAAACGACTGCAACCGACAACAAAATACGAAAAAAACTTGAAAGCTCACAGATACTGTACAATTCATGTCACTTTCTAATTACTGCTTCTACCACCAGGTGTGAATAAGCTTTCATAAACATAATCATCATTATCGTGGTGGTTGCTGTGTCAAGATCTGAGGTTCATTCTGATAACTTTGAAATCGTTATTGGGCTTATCGATGATATTCTCTCATAGCAATCTGTGATCTCGAATTCCCTGTAATGTGCTACACCCTGGTGGCAGAAGATGTTAAATGTCAGAAAAATTAAGTGTTTTACTGAAGAAGTAATTCCATCATCAACAGTTTATCGCAATGTGCAGTCTTTTGTTTTATTTTGTTGGCAATACGAATTTTCGTTTAAGACACGCCGTGTTTTGTTAATTTAACTTGTCAGTGTTATGGCGACTCTGCAAGTGATAGGGCAAATTCTTAGAGTTATTTAGATGTGTATGTCATATTTGTGAATGTTTATGCACTTGTGATATATAAAATGATAGAATCTTGCACGAAAAGGCGAATGATTTTGGCTATCACGTTTCTAGGAGGGCAAGTAAATTGATTTAGTGTAGAATAGTATATATTCAGTTAAGGAGCATTATAGTATGTAAATCACATCAAAACCACGTATTATTTACATTTAAGATTAAATAGTATATGTAATAATTGCATTGGTAATCGACTAAAGTTCAGGGTACGGTTTGGACTCTGCAACAAAATACGGTCCAGGGTGGTTTTTGATTCCAGCTAGGAATAGTTTGAGAAGTTAATTTTGTTAGCTTCTGCACATTTTGTACGTAAACATTGATTTTGCAGACGTTTTAATTATATTGTGTTAGTTGCAGGCATGTATGCCATTACCTATTTTTACATGGCTCCTTGCTCACCATTTATAATTATAATTTCGTCATTGTTTTTTATTTTACATCATTTAACCTCCGTGATTGATATGGCTTTGAAAACAAAAGGAATCTTTGAAGGTATTGCATGAATTTTTCTAAACTGCAGAATGCACCCTAACAACAAAATAACATTTAAGAAAGGAGAATTATGAGATTAAAAATCACCCTGCCATTTTTCACCTGTTGAAGGAGACTTCAGGCCACATTTCTCCATTTTATCTGCTTATGGATTGCTGTGTTGTATATGAGGGTAGTTTATTTAAACTTTATACTGGTTTTTTTTAAAAATGCTGCAAACAGGTTTACATTTAACAAAAATGAGCAAATTTGTTATTGAATCTGAAACACATTAAGTGTATTTTGTGTAGTGTGGAGCTTAAAACAAGATTCTTTATTACAGATTGACATTGCTTGTTCTGATTGTGGAAAGTCACTGGACTGCAGGGAATGGTAAAAATCATGTTGGAGCAGTAGGAAAGAATTCAAGTAATGATAATAATTGCTGGTTGCGTGAAGATATTGAGACTGTACAACCATGCCATCCTTGTACTGGTAAGAGGACACTGGAGGGTCATTTTGGTCATTGAAGTTTGAACTCATTATGGGCATTGGATGAGCGTACAATTAATTAATAATCATTTTTTTCACAAATATAAGTTATAGGCCTCAAGTTTGTTTCTGTTTTAAATAAAATCATTATACTTTCAAGTTATTATGTGTGGTGGCATCTTGATGCATATGCTTCTTCATTTGTTACTTGATTTAAATTAACAGTTTTCAGCACTTATGGTCTGACATTTAATTATTGGTTTTATAATGAATGTATGTTAATTTACTTAGATTATGAACAAATTTAGTTGTGCCGATACGGATCCTGTTTCTGAGTAATGGTATAATGTAAATGCGGGCATTTCAGAGATTAAAGATGACAACTTACTGCGATATTTAAGCTTTGGAAGGTTCCAGAAGAATGTCATAACCGTACTTGTGCCAAAATCTCATAATTTCTGAGGTCTGAGTGGCGGTGCATGACGTACACATATCAATTGGAACTCTCGGAGTACAGAGCATTTTCCGCTTCGTACCTGTTTTATAATTTTTAGCTTGATGGCCACTTTGCCCATAAGAAGGAGATATTAAGGGTTTGTAAAATGTTATCAATACATTTTGAAATAGGATTTGCATTAGGATTAAACTGCCGAGAAAGTGTCTTATTTTTTTTAACCCCATGGATTTGTTTTGTTTGTGCATTATGTTATTATCTGTTTGCAGATTTTGAAATTACGAGTAAAAGTGTCGGTGTGTGCGTTGCTACGCATTTCAAAGAAACTTTGTTCTGTAAGTCATCTGGGAAAGTTGTAAGCAGAAGGTACGTCCAACAAGTAATTTTTGTATTTGATTTGATATCGTGGGATGTATCCGGTGTTGAAAGATTTTGTTTTCTTCAAGCCGATTGCGATTTTCAGATCACTAGAAGAGCGAGTTTTTTTAGTTAGGAGTGTCCGAGTAATATGTGATTATCATATTTCTTCTTGTCTTTGAAATATGTGTCCTTCATATTTTGACGTTCTTTCTTTGTATAATAGAGTTTGATATTTTATTTTATTTTATTTTCTTTAACGTATTCTAGCTTTTGTCAGAGAAATATTTCAGGTGTCCTGTACAGTAGCAAAATGTTCATAATTGTAGATTTCTGTCTTCTGGGTTGTTGCGCTGTGTAGTCT